GCATTAATTCTGTTTCTTAGCATTTTGCATTGTTTAGTTTCTTTTTCTGATAAAATTTTCACTTAGGAAAAGTTATAAAACTCAGCCTACAATAGGTTTTTAAGCAGGAGGTATTTAGAACAGATAATGAGTTAACTTACACAGTCATATCAGATATAAGAGAGTGAAAAGGACTTAGTTAATAGAGGCAACTAGCACCTACTACACTACAGCTGAGAAACAGGATGCAGTTGTGAAACCAAATATATCGTAAAACAGGCCTGCTCATTTAGTGGTTAGGCCTCGGGATAAAAGTGTCTGATCTCCAGCTTATGCTACTTTGGAGAAGTGCTTAGCACGATCTTTCCTGTACTTGAGCTCATTGTTGCAGTCACTGTGTCCGTCCATCTTGTTGAGAGTCCTCTTTTTCACTGACCTTCTACTTTACCGATCATTACGTCTTTTTCCAGGGACCAATCTCTTCAGATAACAGGTCCAAAGGATATGACACACGTTTTGCCATCATCACTTCAAAAGAGCATTCTGGCTGTACTTCTTCCAAGATAGATTTGTGTCTTCCTTTGGCACTCCATGGTACTTTCAATATTTGTTGGTAGCACCATAATTTAAATGCTTCTATTCTTCTTTGTTTTTTCTTATTCAATATCCAAGTTTCACATGCACATGAGGCAATTGAAAATGCCATGGCTTGGGCCAGCCACATCTTAGACTTTAAAATATTATTGTTGCTCCTCAACTTTTAAAGAGATCTTGTGCAGCAGATTTACCCAATGCATTGCATTGTTTGATTTTGTTGACTGTTGCTTCCATGAGCATTGACTGTGGACCCAATCAAGACCAAATCCATACACAACTTCGATTTTTTAATGATGTTCCCTATCGGTCCACTGGTGAGAAATTTTGTTTTCTTTTCATGGAGTTGTAATCCACAGTGAAGACTGCAATCTGATCTTCATCAGCAAGTGCTTCCAGTCCTCCTCACTTTGAGCAAGCGTGGTTGTGTCATGCTGCAGGTTGTTAATAAGTCTCTAATCCTGATACCTTCTTTTTTTTAAATTTTTTTTCCTTATTCTTTTTCAAATAATCCATCTTCTCTGATTGTTTGCTCAGCAAACAGACTGAATAAGTATGATGAGAGGCTATAACTAAAACACACACTGATGGTTTTATTTGAACTTGCATTTATGAAGGGATGGGCTCCAACCCCTCCATCAGGTCAGAGCCTGATTGCAGCCTCTCAGAATGTGTTTCCTTTGCATACGAAAGAAAACGGGAGTTTCTCGTCCTCATTCTGCCCCTCCACCTTCCCGCTTGCTGGAATACTGTGTCTGCCTCCAGGAGTGGCTGCATGTGGGCTGCCAACCCTGAGAGTGGTTGGAACCCTGCCATGCAAGTCTGCCGCCCCACCCCATACCTTCCAGCCTCCACTTCATATTTTTACGTCATTGTCCCGAAGCTACATGAGTCTAAAGAGGGCTCCAGTTTGCATTGGACTTATTTATGGACTTGAGTTGGACTGGGCTGGCATGGCTTCTTATATAAAATTACTTCTTTCTTTCTTTATTAATTTATTATTAGTTGGGAGTTAATACATATATCCTTCCATAGCTCACTTATGTCAAGTAGAATTGTACAATTGCTACCACAATCACTTTTCAAGCATTCTTTTGTTTCTTGCACTCCTTGACATCAGCTCCCTTTTATACACCCCCCACCACTGCACCCTTTCCCCCTGAAACCCACATTCTACTTGTTGTCTCTGTAGGCTCATCAATCCTGGTTTTCACATCCTGAAAAACAGAAAAGTATATAACACAACTTCAAGAGGGTGGCCTCCAAATGACATAGCACCTCTGAGATATACACCCTAATATGAACAAACAAAAAACAAACTGACAATAAAAACCAAAAATACAGAAAATTTTAGAAACCAGTTCAGGTCCAGATGCATCATAGGAGGGATTTAAAGACAAAGTAAATAGGACTGTTCAAGTCAGATCTATGTCTTTGATCTTCTCTCCTCCTCTCTCCAATGCACCCTGTTTAGTAACCACTTTCCTCCCATCCCTGCATTATAGTCCAGGGAGTTCCCGGGGGCTTATTTCTTCTGTAGTTCCACCAATGAATCCTGGGCTTCTACTGTGACCTCTGCACACCAGATTCTCGCAATTTAGGCTCTGATCCTGATCCCTCCTTCCACTTTGGATTGTATGATTTCCAATTCTTTGGTGACTGTTGATGGTGTTTCTTACATGTGGGCTTGGTTGACATCTCACGCAGAAGGCTGCTTGTTTGGAGACAAGCCTTTAAGACCACAGATGCAATTTTATCTGATAGCCAGGCACCATCTAAATTATTTGCAAACATTTTCTTCAGCACTGTATCTTCTGTGATCCCTTCCTGAGGGCGAGTATTGAGCAGGGCCACAATCCAAGAACTAATTGTTCTTAAGTTGGAGCTAGGGTTTAGTGAGAGCTTCAAATGCATTTCTGGATCTATTTTTCCCCTCTTAATTTATTATTACTTGGGATTTAATACACATCTCCTCTCATTTCATAGCTCAATCAAGTGAAGCAAAATTGTATAATTGCTTGCATAATCAGTTTCCAAGCATACCTTTCCTTTCTGGATTCCTTGACATTGTCTGCATTTTACCCCCTCCCACCTGCTCCCCATATTCCACGCTCCCTCACGAAACCCTTATCTATTTGCTGTCCTTATAGGTTCATCAATCCTGAGAGTCATTTACCTAAAAACATACAATAGCTTCATTAGGGTGACCCCCAATGACATAGCACCTCTGAGGTACACCCTAATATGAACAAACAAAAACAAATAATTCAGAATGTCCATCACAGGTTTGTCAGAATAATACATATCTTAATACAGCATATAGGACACTGGTATAGCAAGACCTTTGTTTCTCCCCTTGTCAACAGTTCACTACTCTTGGTACAACCGTCTTATGCTTCCTCAGACACCATGTGTTTTTTGACTAAGGTCCTCAGGTTACAAGTGTGTCTGAAGTAGAGTCCAGTTCACCCAGTAGAGTTCCTGCATGGGATCTCACTGATGGCAGCCTCTGGAGCATGCTGAGTCTCTTGAAGATCCAGGATTCAGTGTCCTAGCATTCCACAGCACCCGGCCTGGGTCCTCAGGATACCCCCCTATGCCTGGGTTCAATGTGACCCATTTGTTGCATGCCACCTAAGACACCCAGCCCCTAGTGTCCTCCCAAGTATTTTCAGTCACTCTTCACCCCAACTGGAGGTCACTCCTACCAATAGACATGCATTTGTGTTCCTTGAGATGTGTTTGTTCTGTTCTCCTCTCCTGCATTGTTTTCCCCATCAAGTATCCCTCATCCCTCTGACCGGGTTCTTTCCCTGTCCAGGGAGACTTTGTCATAGGTTTACATGGCAGCCACTCAGTTGACAACATCCCCTTCCCCTCCCTTGACCATTTGTTCCCAGCTGATGTGAGGCGCCCTCTGGCCAAGTGACCTTCTAAATACTTATCTAGAGCAGGTGGTTCATTGGTACCGGTTAAACTCTCCACCAGGCTGTCTAGCCCCCTAGCAAGAAGACTGGATGCCCTACAAACCCAAGCCTGTTCCTGCTCTGCTGCTTGTTTCTATAGCAGTGGACTCAAACAGTACTTGTCCTTTTGTGCTTGACTAACTTCAGATCCATCTACAACTTGAGGTGTTTCATGGTTTCATTCATTGCTGTTTTTTAGGGACGTGTAGTATTCCATTGTGTATATATACCAGAGGTTTTTTTCCCCCCATTATTCCAATCTTCTACTGATAGGAATTTAGGCTGTTTCCAGCTTCTTGCTATTGTGTCCTGTGCTGCAATGAACACGAGGAAGGAAATATCTGTTTGTATTCTGTCTCTTATTTCTTTTGGATACATACCCAGTATTGGTATTGCTGGATCATATGGAATTTCAATTACCATCTCTATTACATATTGCCGTGTCACCTTCCACAGTGGTTGTATGTGTTTACAATTGCACCAGCAGTGGATAAGGGTTCCAATCTCACTACACACTCTCTAGCATTTGTTGTTCTCAGTTTTTGTTTTTAAATTGGGCTACAGTTATGGGTGTTAGGTGGTATCTCACAGTTGTTTTGACTTGCATTTCCTAGATGGGTAGTGACCAGGAACATTTCCTCTTGTGTTTATTAGCCATTTGAGTATCATCCTTTGTAAATAGTCTGTTCAAGTACTTTGCCACCTTCTCAAAGGGTTATTAGTTTTTTTTTTCTTGTTAAAGACTTGTAAAATACTGTAATTAATTAGACCTTTTCTGTTATGTCATTACTAAATATCTTTTCCCAGTCTGTGAGCTCGCTTTTTACTCTTTTCATGGACTGTTTCATTTTTAACAGGTCCCACTCATCTATTTTGTCTTCCATGAATGTGTGTTTCCTTTGTTGTTTCTGTGCTAGCCCAGGTATTCCCTGCGCCAGGGCACTTAGATTTGTCTCCATTTTCTCATTGATGACCCTGATAGCTTTGGATTTTACATTTAGGATTTTGATCCGTGCAACTCTGCACCCCCAGACTCTACTTCATATTACTACATCATTTCCCTGCAGCTACATGAGTCTACAGGGCTTTGGTTTGCAATTGGACTTATTTATGGTCTTGAGTTGGTTTGGGTTGGAATGGCTTCTTGATATAAAATTGCTTCTTGATATAAGTTTAATAAGTTTATGATTAAAATATTTAAATAACTCCCTTATAATTGAATAGTATATAAATCTTAGATGAATTAATATTTTAAATGACTTTTATATGCTAATATTTTCTTCTTTTTTTTTTAACATTTTATTAGGGGCTCATACAACTGTTATCCCAATCCATACACACATCAATTGTGTAAAGCGCATTTGTACATGCTAATATTTTCTTAATAAATAATTTTTAACATTTTATAACTACATTTGATCCTTGTCTAATTGGTTTTCTGTTTATTTTTCTTATATTTAGTATTCAGAAGGCTTATCCTTGGAGTCATTTACTGTTATTATTGTGCAGCTACTTGGCCTTAACCTGGGATTAACTTATGACAGCAATACTGACAACTGCCATTGTTCAGCTGAAATTTGTACAATGATGCCAAAAGCAGTGTATGACATTTTCCTTATTAAATATATGTATTTTTTTCTTATAGGTTTAAACATTTTTTAGTTGGGGGGAGTGAGAACTTTTGAATTTCTGTCACCTAAATTTATATGTTTGGCAATGATAACACTTTATACCTAATAATGGTAAAAGATTTATCCATATACAAATGGAACTTTTATCAAAATAGACTATTCTCTGAGCTTTAAAGCTAGTCTCAATAATTTAAGAGTAGTGGAATCATATAAAAAATGTGTTCTGACCATATAGAAACTAATAATGAATGGTAACTAACTATTCCAAATTATTTGGAAAAGTAACATATATGTAATGAAATCTCTTCCCTACAAATCTCTTCCCTCAATTAAAATCTGAAAACTTTATTAGTGAAACAATAATGATAATATCATCTATCAGAACTTGTGGGAAGTGGCAAAAACTATTCAAAAGTGGTATTTATGGATTTGAATAAATATGCTAGTTAAGAATGAGAGTATATTAATAAACATCTTTGTATAATGCAACTAGAATATGAACACTAGATTAAACTTATAGGAAGTGGAAAAGAAGAAATCAATGGTCTTGAAAGCTGACTAAAACAAAATAAATGTAATTAAAATGTTTCTTCTTTAAATAGATAAAGTTGTTAAGCCATCAGCAAGACTGATTAAAGGTGGAAGAGGGACAATGCAGATTACCTGGGGTCAGGAAAACAAAAATAAATATAAATAGATTTGAAAGATGTTAAAGGGATTTTGAAGCTTTCTTTGACTGTAAAGAGTTACAGTCTCAGAGACCCATGGGGGTTGCCATTCAGTCATAGTCCTCCTGATGGTGCGAGTTTGTTTTGTTTTGATTTTTTTGAAAGAGGATTTTAAAAATAAATAATGTTATGCATATACATTCTTCAAGCTGGTGGAAATGAAAATGAGTCCATGAAAAACTAACACAAAGATAATAGAACCATTCTGGAAAATATTTTTTCAGTTTCTCATAAAACAAAACACATGATTATTGGATAGTCTGAACCTATCCTGTTGTTGTTATACTATTTCTTTCCCCTAAACAATATATTAATTGCCTAGTAGTCTTCATCCTCAGAAGCATATACTGTTAACACTTATTTTTATTTATAATCGATGCTGACAGGTATATACTGTTATCTCATGGTTTTATTTTGCATTAGCTTAAAGGACACTGGTGGTTGAGTGGTTAAGAATTTGACTGCCTACAGAAAGGTTGATGCTTTGAACCCATCACCATCCATGATATAGTATAATCCATGAGAAAGATAGAGTAATATGCATCCTTGAAGATTAAAGATCTACTCTTGTCAAGTCCATTCTGACTCACAGTGACTCTGTTAATGTTACCAATGATGATACCTTTGTGCACCCTCTGCTCTACTCTTTCCTACAAAATCACTATGAATCTGAATTAACTAGATGGCAACTGATTTATTTTTTTAGGGTAATGACTAATAGTGTTGCAATATGCTTTCCAGACTGTCCTTATCTTCATATCTTTATTTGTTTTACCTACTTTGTAGTTGGATTCTTTTAATTCTTGAGTTCTTGGGCATTCTTGAGATACACCAGATACTAATGTTTGTTAAATACATTATTTCCAAACATCTTCTATTCATTTATAGCGTCTTTCTTTCATCGCAGGCACCAGATCTCAATGGAAAAATATTTTGATTTTAATGAAATTCAGTTTATCAAAATTTCCTTATAGGAGTAGTGTTTTTAGTGTCAATTCTAATAACTATTTGTGAAGTCATAGATCCTGAAGATTTCTTCCAATTCCCACCCCCCTAAAAAACGGAAACTACGTCTCACTACAATGGAGCAGATGCCGACTCAGCATGTCCCTGTGCGACAGAAGAGGAGTGCTCCCTGGGGGTTGCCCAGGCTGTGAACTTAAGGGCGCAGGCCACTTCCTCTGCCTCCCATGGAGCAGCTGATGTCCTTGAGCTTTCGGCTAGCGGCCTGGTGTTTAACCGACCAGGCCACCATATTTCCTAAGTAAATGAAAGTATATTAAATACTAGGCGTCCTGGTGAAGTGGTGGTTACGCGTTGGGCTGCGATCCACAAGTTCTGCAGAGACCTAAAATTTAAAAATTCAATTTCTTGATATCTGAAAGATAAATGAGAATAAATGACAGTTACTTAAAGGATTTTAAAAATTTGCACATTAGATACATAATCGATCTTCTTTGTGTAAAACAGGGTGAATGACAAAGATTTTGTTATATGTTACTTTTCATTACAATAGTTTTCTTTGTGGAACTTAAATTTTATGTAGAAGCATCTTAGCAATATATTTAAATAAATACATGTAAATAAACATTTTCAAAAGTGTACTTGTTTTTTTCTATAGATAATAAGGCTCTTTAAATCTCTCTCAAAGATATCATTTGGGGATATTAAGAGATATATACTCATAATTTTTTATCATATCTATATATTTTTATTTTAGACATTTTGGAGGTGTAAAGGATTTTAGCACCTGCAGTTTGGATAACTTCAAGTATATCATCGCACAATCTAACCTTAACTGTCTTCAGAATCACTCAGTTGATACACCAGTTTATAAACAATCAAGCAAAGTGTGTGGCAATGGAAAGTTGGAACCTGGTGAAGAATGTGATTGTGGCACTGCAAAGGTTAGTACACTGTTTTTCCAAATATGTTATCATTGTTTCCATGTGTAAAATAAGTGGAAAAGAAGACAGGACTTGACTGTTAGAAAGCTCTTTGAAAAACATGCTCTTCTTTGGGAAAATGGACACCTTTGATTCTTCTAATTTGATTTTTTAATATGGGGACCAGACCATCTTTAGATAATATTTGATCTTAAATAATGCCTTCTAAATTTCTTTAGTAGTTCAGCTCCAAGCTAATAGTGTCCACAAAAAGCATCTGCCAAGTTTAATAAAAATATATTTAATAACAAGCAGTTACAAAAATAGATTAGAATATTTAAAGATTATATACTATAACTACTAGGGTAGCAACATGCATTATTTGCTAGTATAGATGTTTTATTGACAGGTGAAAGTAATTTCAAATATAGAGAGATTAAATCCAACACTGCAGAAAATATAAAAATATTGAACTATTTTCAAACTAGAACAAAGACGAAAGATGATAACAGAGGCAATAACAACAAATGAAGTAGTCATGCAAAACTTTCAGAGATACCAGTAAAATATGAAATACACATATATATGATGCATAAACATTAAATCTTAGATAGATAGATGGACAGACAGACAGTGGTTTCACAGTCCAGGAAAACATACAAAAAAAGAAAGAAAGTCAGAACAGCCTACACATTAAAACCTGCAGCTGGAAGAGGAGGTAGGAATTTGCAGTCTGAGTCATGGTGGGATAGAATGGTTGTGCAAATCCATATATTTATTAGCTTGATATGAAAAAATAGAGTTATGACTGTGACCAACTAGATATTTAAGGGGTAAAACCTGAAATGTAGGAAATTTTGAATGAGGGGACACCTAAATTCTGATGGTCACCTCTGTGTGAATACTTGTTAAATTATGCATAGACCAACAGGCCAAAGGGGACAAGGAGGATGGTATTAGAAAAAAAATGTACCCTTGAATGAAAAAAGGACACCAAATGAACCCTGTGAATTTCATGATCTTTTTGGAGAAACTTTGTGTAATGATGCACACTTTGGCCACAGGAAATTAAAGCATGACTTGTTTAGAAGTCAGAATTCAAAGCCTCAGGTGGAAGAGTTGCTGGGTAATGAAGTGGAACCTGCTAGACTCAAAACCAAGCTCACTTCCATCAGATTGATTCAGTAACCCAATGGGACAAGATAGAAATATCATTCTAGGTCCCAAAGACTGTGGTGTTTGGGGGTTTTTGTTTTTTTTAACATTTTATTGGGGGCTCAGACAATTCTTATCACAATCCATACATCCATCCATTGTGTCAAGCACATTTGTACATTTGTTGCCATCATCATTCTCAAAACATTTTCTTTCTACTTAAACTCTTAATATCAGCTCCTCATTTTCCCCCTCCCTCGCCACCCTTTATAATTTATAAATTATTATTATTTTGTCATATCTTACACTGTCTGCCATCTCCCTTCACCCACTTTTCTGTTGTCTGTTTTTTATGGGAGTAGAAAGCCTCTCCTTTATCCCTTGGAGCAGCTGGTGATTTTGAACTGATGGTGATTTTGGTTAACACCCACCTGTATCTCACTCCACCCTCAATTTGCAAAAACAACAAAACAAGAGAGCTTGAACTTTAACATTTAAATATAACCTCTACTTAAATTCTTGGCTGAATGTCAAATTATACCAGAAAACCAGGCTAGACGATCATGGTACCTCAATTATTAATTGAAAGGCATCCATTCTTCTGCAGTCTTCATCATTCAGTGTGCAACTTTCACATGCATACGAGGTCACTGAAAATGCCATGGCTTGTGTCAGGTGCACCCAAGTTTTCAGAGTAACACCTTTGCTTTTTCAATACTCTCAAGCGAGATTGTGCAGCAGATTTATCTAATCCAGCTGTTCTTTTGATCTCTTGGTTGCTGTTCCCACGAGCATTGATTGTGAATCCAACAAGATAAAATCTTTGACAAGTTTATATTCTCTCCATTTATCATGATGTTCCCTATTAGTTTAGTTGTGAGAATTTTGCTTTTCTTTACATTGAGTTGTAAACATCTGATGCCACATTCGTCTTCATAGTATCCAACCTCTCTGATGATTTGCTCTGCATAAAAAAAATGAATAAGTATGGTTAGAGGAAACAACCATGACACACACTTTTCCTGATTTTAAGCCATCCATTATTTCCTGGTTCAGTTCACACAACTGCCTTTTGATCCGTGTACCAGTGCCCCATGAGCACAATTAAGTGTGTGGAATTCCCATTCTTCTCAAGTCTATTCATATTTTATTGTGATCCACAGAATCAAATGCCTTGGCAAAGTAAAAAAACAAACAAAAATACCCAGAAATAAACATCTTTCTGATATTCACTGTTTTCAGCCCAGATCCATCTGACATCAACAATGTTATCCCTTATTCCAAGTCTTCTCCTAAATCTGGCCTTAAACCTCAGGCAGCTTTCTGTTAACGTACTGCTGCAGCCCTGCATGGCATGCCATAATAATAAAAAGAATGAAGAGGCAGCACATTGTAAGGGAAAAAAATCAATAGTAACAATCATCAGATTTCAAGATAACAGAATTGTCAGAAGTACCATTAAACTACCTATGTTAATTATATTTAGGATGATAAAATATAAGACAAAAACTTTTTTAAAAAGCACATTTCAAAAAAAAAAAAAAAGCACATTTCTAAAAAAACAGCAGCTAATTTTGTTTTGCAAAAAAAACTCCTCCAAAACAACAACAACAAATGAGAGAGAGAGAGAAGAAAGAAATAGATGCTGTACCTTATTTTGACATGGCTAACGCGATAAGGAGCCCTGATGTCACAATGGATTAAGTATAGGATTGCTTACCAAAAGACTGAAAATCTAAACTCACAAGCCTTCCATAAAGATTTACAGCCTCAGAAAGCTCTGGGATATTTCTGCTCTTTGTACTCTGTTTTGGTTCCCTAGCAGTGGGTTTCGCTTGATTTGAAGAGATAATTGGTAAATGTGTATATGTTGTTGGTATGCATAGGTACCATCGGTTAGTTCCAACTAACAGGAAGCCTACATACAACAGAGTCAAACACAACCCAGTCTTGTGCCAACTTCACAGTTGTTATGTTTGAGCTCATTGTTGTAGCAACTGTGTTAATTTATCTTGTCGGGGTCTTTTTTCTTTCTCTACCCCTCTTTTTTACTAAGCATGATGTCCTTCTCCAGGGACTGGTCTCTCCTAACATGTCCAAAGTAAGTGAGACAATATCTCACAACCCTTTCCTCTAAGGAACATTCTGGTTGTACTTCTTCCAAGTAAGATGTGTTCATTTTTTTGGTAGTCCGTCGTACTGTCAATATTTGTCACTAGCACCATAGTTCAAATGCATCAATTTTTCTTTATTTTTATCCAATGTCCAGCTTTCAAATGAAGTAATTAAAATTACCAACGCTTGGGTCAGGTTCACTTTAGTTCTCAAAATAATGTCTTTGATTTTCAGCACTTTAAAGAGGTCTTGTGCAGCAGATTTACCAAATTCAATGTAAATTCTTGATTGCTTCTTGTCTCAAGTCCTTTTTCCACATCCTCCTCTGAATCTGGCTTGAATCTCTGGTCAGCTCTAGCCAGTTCCCTCTCAATATACTACTGCCATCATTGTTGCATGAGCTTCAGCAAAATCTTGTTTTCCTGTAAAATTAATGATACTGTTCTATAATTTGAACATTCTGCTGGTTCACCTTTCTTTGGGTACAAACATAGATCTCTTCCATTTGGTGGGACAGAGAGGAGCTGGCTTCCAAATTTTTTAGCAAAGATGAGTGAGTGCTTCCAGTGCTTCATCAGCTTGTTGAAACATTTCAGTGGGCACTCCATCAGTTCCTGTAGACTTGTTTTCAGTAATGCCTTCAGTGCAGCTTAGACTTCTTTCTTCAATAGCAATGGTTCTTGATCATAGGCTACCTCTTAAAATTATTGAATGTCAACTACTTCTTTGTGGTACGGTGACTATGCGTTCCTCCCATCTTCTTTTGATGCTTCCTGCATTTTCATCATTTTACCTATAGAATCTTTCAATATTGCAACTGGAGGTTTGAATTCAAATGTAAATGAGATTAGAAACATAAGCTTGAGAGACAAGTATATAAGTGAGAATTGAATAAAATAATCATGAAATTACATCTAGTGACTGTGGTAGTTACGTAATCTGTTGCCAGTTTGAGACTTAAGAGTGAAAGAGTGGAGTTTAGCCTGTCAATCAGGTCACAGTTTGATGACCTCATTTGGAAGCACTAAGATGATAAATAGCTTCCTGGAGGCAGGACACACACTCATTCCCTGTGAGACATTTCCATGGACAAGACACATGGAGCTACACTAGAGTTCTGGAGCCAGAGAATCCATGTGGAGACCTCTGTCAGCGCTTCCACCCACTGGCCTGTGATTCCTGCATTTGGCATGTGTTTCGTGAGTCTGAAGAGGACTTTATAGATTGGTATTGGACTTATGGAGTTGATCTGGACTGGGATGGGGTATTTTCTCAATATTCAACTGCTCTTGTATATAAAGCTCTTTCTTGTACACATATGAGTGTCTATGAATTTGTTTCTCTAACACAGCGAGTAAAGTATAAAGTAAATATGTGGCAACAATAGCATATAATTCAAGAGGAGAATGGGTTAAGGTGCTTTTATCATACAAAACAAGATGAAATGTTCTTAAGTTCATTAAACTTGATAATTCAATCCTGTATATCATAATCTCTTTTTAAAAATCACTAAACTAGTAATGCAGTATTGTATGTGACACAGTGAACACATGTGGGATTAATTGAAGGATGGAGAGGTAAATGGTTCGGCAAGCCTCGCCTTTTCATCTCTTGCTCTTTGATCATCGGACCAGTGTGTGCTGCCTTGCTTGTTCTGTGCCTCAATTTGCAAGCTACACTACTGGTGGGACACCTAACCCATAGACTGTGTCGCTGTAATTTGAGGCTCCTTCAACACCTGCTTCACCACACTATTGGAACTTAAATTTCTTGAGCTGGGTACTGTCGGACCCTGTTATCTGGCTGAATGTTGGTGACCTGCCTTGCTGTTTCCTGCCAATTATGATTCATAGTGAACCTATAGGACAGGATAGAACTACCTCTGTGGGTTTCCAAAGCTACACATTCTTACAGGAACAGAAAGCACCATCTTTCACGGGTAGAGCAGCGGTTGTTTCCTAAGACTCGCATTGTGATTAGCTACCCAATGGAAATCCCTGCCCTCTCCACCACAGGGCAACTATATTCAAACCAACAGTTTATTGGGGGTGGAGGGGACATAAATCCTACTGCTCTTTTTAAGCCTATGCAATCAAATATTGGCTGAGGGGACTTAGACACAGAATATTCATTTCCACAACGCATGTAGGTCTACTGAAGAACATAAGGCATGTGAAGCATTCAATATCCATATTAAATTCAAACAAACACACATCCTTTGAAAATATTCCAGCTCAGTAGTCTCTTATCCACACCTTGACTAACTTCCATTCATATGCATATTGCCTTGGACCCCTAGAAGTATGGAATCAGTACATGCCGGCCTCCTATCTTTATGTTAGGTTAGAAGTCAGCCAAAGTGTATAACATCTAAATGCACACTAACTCAAACCTGCTTTAAAATTGTAGGCTCCCTGTCTCTTAGGGATCATTTCTCCCCATTCCTAATCAAAAGAGAGGAAATGCAAAACAGAATTTCATAGAATCCATATTCTTCTGACCAACTACAGCTCAATGAACCCTAGAACCTATTGCCCTGAGATTATTAAGCCTCGAGGCTCAAATCAAACTACCTCTGTCATTGTTAGGAGTCATCAGGACAGTGGACTCATAGTGATCCTATCTACAACAATGAAATGTTCCCTGGTTCCATACCATCCTAATGATCTTTGTTATAGTTGGGCTCATTGTCGTAGCTCATGTGTAGATCCATCTTGCTGTGGGTCTTATTTTGCTGGCCTTCTATTTCATCAATTATATGTTCTTCAAGGTCTCCTCTTTCCTAATATGCCCAAAGTATCAAAGAAAAAATCTAGGCGTTTTCACTGCTAAAGAGCATTGTGGTTGTACGTTTTCCAAAATGAAGTTATTCATCTTTCTGGTTGTCAGTAATATGCTGACCAGAAAATAGTTTCACTTAATTAGTAAAATAGGCCTGTCTTAAACATAATATTCTTTTAACAAATTATCTATATAGAATCAAATTGACAGCAGGAACTTTAAAGGTAAGATGAGAAAGTTAAGGGGCAATAAGTTTATGTTGAGTGTGATGAGAAAAATATAAAATAAAATTGTTTTTCCATTAAGTAATTCACATACAAATTTTTCCAGGATATTGGTTGCCTATATTATGTCAGCTTGCTCCCCATTTCCATCCTGAGTTCCCTATTTCCAGTTGTTCAGTTTTGTTACCCCTTCCTGTCTTTACATTTTTGCTTTTGAGAAAATGTTGCCTTTTCAGACTCATATAGTTGCTTGTTCTAAGGAGCACATTCCTCGTGGATAGTGTTGTTTATTTTATAAATTAGTCTGTTATTTGACTGAAAGGTAGCCTCCAGGGTTGGTATCAGTTTCAAGTTAGAAGGATGTCTTAGATTATATTCTCTATAGTTTCTCCGGGTTCTATAGGACCGATAAATGTTCTCTATTTTAATTTGAATGGCACTTGGCATTTTTCTCCCATTGTAACCTAAATAGAGTAGAAGGTAGTGGTTCCAGACATGATCTAATTCTTCTTGTTTCAGGCTAGAGAAAGCTATGATGCATGTGGTGCATTGGCCCTTTGGCCTAACTGCTTCCTTGATTCTTTTGTTTTTCCTCACCCTGGGGTGCTGCAGATATGAAGAAACCAATTATGGTATCTTACAAACTTCTAAGACTCCAGATGTTACTTACAAAACTGTAATCTATAACCTATCTTTATGAACTATATTATGCTACTTGGTCTTGATATCCTCAAGACGATGGTCCTTAGTCTTCAAGTCTAATAGCTGAAGCCTTGAGGTATTTGCTATATCTAAAAAGTGTGCCCCCTTTATTTTCTCATATATATGAAAATACATATGTCACATACAAAAAATATGGACATATATACAGATGTACCTCTATAGAAGTAGCTCTGATGACAAGATCAGGTAAGCATTGCATCGCTAACTGCAAGGTTAGTGGTTCAAACTCATCAGCAGTTCTGTGTGAGAAAGAAAGGAGGCTCTCTCCTCCTGTAAAGATTTACAGCCACAGAAGCACTAGGGCCACTGTGAGCCAGTGTGAACTTGATAGCAATGTGATTATTTAATATATATATATATATATATATATATATAGTAGTACAGAGGGTGTGGTCCCAGATCTATTTAACATAAAATGTACCATATTGTGTTTTGCCTTTTCCTGCACCAGAATATCTTCACTTCTACAAGCTAATGACTTTCTCTTTCCTTCTGCCATTCCTGGTAACCGTAAAATAATATTTCTTTTGTGTATATTCTTGAACTTTTATAATAATATTTTACCTTTTGGTTCCATGGTAGCATGTTAGTCTTTACCAAATGATGTGTTATGTAGTGAAAATAACATATTTCTTTTACAAAATTTTGTATGAGATTTTGACTTCTATAAATCTCATACCAAAAATTAGATTTCTGAGACTATGACTTTGGAAGTTACATAATCTGGTGTCAGCTTGAGAAGAGGTGGAGTCTAGCCTGTCAATCAGGTCGCAGCTTGATGACCTCATTTGGAGGCGCCACAGAGATAAATAGCTCACTGGAGGCCAGGTACACTCACACTTTCTGCTTCATCTTCCTCATGACAAGACACATGGAACTACACTAGAGCCCTGGAACTGGAGGAGCCATGTGGAGACCCACACCAGCACTGACATGCTTCTACCACTGCTGGATTCACAAGACTTTCTACCCACTGGCTTATGATCTTCCTGCATTCAGTGTCCTTGCATGTGTTTTATGAATCTGAAGAGGAATTTATAGATTGGTATTGGACATATGGGCTAATATCAGACTTATGGGCTTGATCTGGACTGGTCTGGGATGTGTTCTTAATATAGAATTAATCTTGTATCTAAAGCGATTTATTATACACATATGAGTCTCCCTGGATTTATTTCTCTAGTCTACCTGGGCTAACACAGTAACTTTAGTAACATTTTCACAATTTTTAAAGTCTTATGTTGCAGTTTTATTTGATGACATATAATTATATTTGATTAAGTAACACTTCACATTTGCTTACAGAATTGTACACACAAAGCCTGCTGTGATCCTAGAACATGTATGTTGAAAAGAAAAAAAGTATGTGGTTCTGGAACATGCTGCTCACAAAGTTGCAAGGTAAGAGGTAACAAGCATTTTATATTAGCCCAAGATAATTTTTCTTGATACTTGTTTAAGGCACTGGAAGGATGTCTGCACAATTTTTGTGGATTGAATTGTGTCCCTGGAAAAATGTGAGTTATAAATCCTTACTTGTGGATGGAGGCCTGGTAATATAGTGGGTTAGGAGTTAGATCACTGTCCATAAGATTAGCAGTTAGAAGTCACCAGTAGCTCCCCAGAAGAAAGTGAAACTGTCTTCCATAAAGCTTTAGAGTCTTGACTATGACATGTATTTAGGTTAAAATGTTACACGTTATCATTTGATATTCCTTTTGACTATTTAAAAATTTGTTCTAGTATTTAATATTTTCTGGTTTCATTTATATTGACGTTTTTCTCAATTTTATTTTGTCATCACTGTTGGATTTGTTGTTTCTTATTTCTTTTCTATTTTTTCTGCATACGGAATCTAGAACAGGTAAGTCTATAGAGACAGCAACTGGATTAATAATTACCTAAGGACATGGCAAGGAGATTGGGGATGGAATGAGGAGCAAACAACAATGATTACAAGAAAAAAGAGAATGTTCTAAAATGGACTGATGCTGATGATTGCATAACTCCTCTTAATGTGATTGAATTATTGGATTGTGTGATATGTGAACTATATGCCAATATAACTATATCTGAAAGGATTTGTAGGCTCAGAAACCTTCGAGAACAGTTCTTCTCTGTCCTATAGGTTGCTGTGGGTCGGATGGACTAGATGGCCCTGAGTTTTGGTTTGTTGTTGTTGTTGATGTTGGGTAATACTTGTGATAGTGATCTCATTTTGAGAGCAGTCTTTGTCATGTTAGTGAGGCAGTGTAAGTGTCGGGAGTGTTTTAAGCCAAACATTTAAAAAATATTAAAAAGAGCAATTTATGTACCAAAGCAAAGAAGCATAAATGGAGAAAGACTGATGCCACCTGGCAATTGCCAGGGAATCCAAGAGGAAAAGCTGAAAGACAAAAGGCTCTTCTCACAGAGCAGAGAAACCCTCACCTCAAGCCAGACCCAAACAAGCCCAAACTCACTGCCGTCAACTGAACTCCGCTACACCTTCAGCCAGAGTCCTGAATTTGTCCTGGTAGCCTGTTGAAGAGTTCAACAAAGACTCCATTAAAGCCACTCATGGTGCTATTCTTGTTAGAGCACCACTAAGAAGCTAAGATAAAAATGTTCAACATTTTCTGTTACATCCAGTGGACCCACTTTCACACTTCGGGCCATTTGCTAATTTTAACACTTCTTTACTCTCCTTAGCGATTGGTCTGCTACCAGGTCATTAGTTAAAGAAAAAAAAAAAAAACAGAACAAAAACTACTCAATGCCATCCCATGGAGCCAATGACAACTGATAACTACCCTATAGAACAGGGCAGAACCACCCCTGCACGTTTTCAAGACTGCAACAGTTTGGGGGAAATAGAAAGCCCTGGTTTCCTCCTGAGGAGCTACTGGTGGTTTTGAACAGCTGACCTTATGGGTTAGCAGGCCGACGTGTAACCATTATACTATCAGGGCTCCAGATTATTAGATAGAACCCTCCAAATGTTCTGTGGGAGAACTGTAAGGCTTTTTGCTCTGGGAAATATTTACAACTTTCGGCAGCCAAATGACCAGTTCTTCCTTGTCTGGGGGGATGGGGGAGTCACTATAAATTATAGCTACTCAGTGGCAATCAGTGGTGTGTTGACTGTCATGGACTAATTTCCTATGCTTTTTCTCTCCCAATGTGACTTCCTATTTTAGAATCTTTCAGTGTTATCTCTAGGATTCTTTTATAATAGACACATGCCTGAAATTATCTTCGTAAGGATTTATCCTCTTTACACTCACCTCACTCAGGGTTAGAATGTTCAATGATTATTTTTTTGTTGTCAAATCCATTTAATATTTTCCTGACATAGAATAAATAATAGTTTCTTTGGAATGTATTCGGTTATTGTTATTATCCCTCTCTGTTGATAACATTAAAAGAATTCCTAAAACATTTAAACAAACCCAGGAGTAGAGTCCAGATGAAAAAGAAAACCGTGTCTTGAACAAAGTAATTGGCAAAAATAAGAAGGATGAGTTTACTCTTTAGTTATTACAGTGTCTAGATGCAATAATGAAACTCATTCTGAATAGTTTTCAATATGTGGCCTCTACAAATTTACAGCACGTCATAAAAAAACAAAGAAAATAAAAAATAAATTAAATGAGAAGTGATTACAGATAATCTAAACAATTTCACTAAAACCAGAACTTCTGTGACTAATAGTAGCCATCGTTAAGTTGGATGATAAGTATTGAGACATACATGTTAAGTATTAAGGTTGAAGATGGACATTGGGTCTCAACTCAAATACTCTCTCAACACAAGAACACTTTGTTCTAATGATCCGGCATTCTGTGGTGCTCACTTTCCCTACACGATTGCTGAAGACAAAATGGATGCATAAGCATATGTGGTGAAGAAAGCTGATGGTGCCAGGTTATCAAAAGATATAGCATCTGAGGTCTTAAAGGCTTGAAGATAAACGATTGACCATCTATCTGAGAAGCAACAAAGTCCACAAGGAAGAAGTACACCAGCCTGTGTGACCATGAGGTGTCCATGGGATCAGGTACAGGCACCTATGACCCAGAACAAAAAATCATACCCAATGTGAATGAGGGGGAGCCTAGAGACCCAAAGCCCATCTGTAGACAATTGGACATCCTCTTACAGAAGGGTCACAAGGAAGAGACAAGCCAGTTAGGGTGCAGTATAGCACCAATGAAACATACAACTTTCCTCTAGTTCTTTAATGCTTGCCCCCCCACTATCATGACCTCAATTCTACCTTACATGTCTGACTAGACCAGAACATGTACACTGCTACAGAAAAGAACCCACACAGTCAGAGAATCCAGGACAGATAAACCCTTCAGGACCAATAATGAGAATAGAGATACCAGGAGGATAAGCGGAAGGTTGGGGGAGAAAGGGGAAATCTATCACAAGGATCAACAAATAACCCTCTCTCAGAGGGACGAACAACAGAAAAGTGGGTGAAGGGCGACAGAGGATGATGTAAGATATGAAAATAATGATCTATAATTTACCAAGTGTTCATGAGGGTAAAATGGGAAACTACATTTTTGAACCAAAAGAATTCCCAGAAAACAAACTATAAGTTACATACAGAATTAGACAACATAATAAAAGCCCTCAAGAATATAATGAATGAAAAAGAAAATTTAATCAGTAAGGGAGGGGAAAATGAGGAGCTGATACCAAGGGCTCAAGTAGAAAGAAAATGCTGTGAAAATGGTGATAGCAACATACATACAAATGTGCTTGACACAATGGATGAATGTATGGATTGTGATAAGATCTGTAAGAGCCCCCAGTAAAAGTATTCAATTAAAAAAATAAGACAAATATATAATCAGAGACATTGTCCATAAAATACCAGAGATAAAAGGTTAAAGAAATTAAACTGCAAAAGAGAACAAAGAAAGAAAACCATCTTCATGTTAAGGAAAAGAATTCATAGTTGCTACATTCTACTGCCCAATATATATTTGCAGTAAAAATTGTGCCCTGTAAAAAAAAAGTATAAGGAGACAAAGATGCATGCAAGGAATAAACCAGAGGCATTAATACAGGAAAAAATCCTAGAAAACAAATGGTATATTGTCATAATCAGTAAGAAAAAAGATGATTTATCATTAAATATGACAGTTAAAAAGAAGTCCTGGTTGCACAGTGGTTAAAATTATGCTGCTACCTGCTAGATCAGCAGTACAAAATTGCAAGTCACCCCTCGGGAGAAAGATGGGGCTTTCTATTCTTGGAAAGTGCTATGGTCTTGGAAATTGATAGTGGCAGTTCTACCCAGTCCTATGTGATTGCTATGAGTCAGCATTGCCTTGATGGTAGAGATGCAGTTACACATCTCTATCTTACTTACTTATCCATCATCTGTCTTCATTGTGTCCTACTGTATTTGCTTGTGTGTTACTGTGATGCTGGAAGCTATGTCACTGGTATTTCAAATGCTGGGAGAGTCACCCCAATGCAATAATTTTCACCGGAGCTTCCACATGAAGATCAGATTGGCTAGGTTTTTTTTTTCCCTTCAGAAATTTGCATACGTCACTCCACTGTTTCTTGCCTGCATAGTTTCTGAGACGTTTGAGTTTCTGCTTATTGGTTTTCCTTTGTCGGTGACTGTTATTTTTCCTCCAGCTGCCCGGGGCCTGCCTCTTGTTCTTGGAGTTGGAGAGCTTGACAACAGTGTGGCATGTGTTTCTTTGGGGATCTGTCCTGTTTGGTGTTCTCTCAGCTTCGTGGGTAGTTATGTTCCTTTCTGATGTTAGGGAACTTTCATTCTGTGATTTCTAATACAATTTTCTCCATATATAATTTTTGTTTCTTAATGAGCTATTGGTCGTTGTTCAGGCTATCATCTGACTCCTTGGTTTTTTGATGACTTCTCTTGTTGATCATAGTTAGAGTGATTGTCTTCAAGATCACCGATTCAATTTTCTTTTACTTTCATTATATTCTTCAGGGATTTTACCATCTTGCCTAATTCTGTAACTCACAGTTTGTTTTCACAGGGATTTTTTTGTTTAAAAATGCAGTGTTTCATTTTACCCCATTGTTCTCTAGAAAGGACCTAAACATCATTTTTATGAATTTTGTTTCTGATAGTTTCATGGCCTCCTTTTCAGCATACTCCATTTATTTGGGGTTGTTTATCATTGTTGTTGTTTTCCCCTTGATAGTTTTGGTTGACTACTGCTGACTGCTGTTTCCTTGGCATCTTAGTATGGCTATTCATGGTGGGTGAGCTGCTGGGTTACACGTAGTTGGCTCTGCTTGGTAACGTGGAAGAAGCCTAATAAGATCTGGAAAATATACAGTGGTGAAATGGAGGAGGGCAGAGAGAGATGGGTAAGTGAGAAAATAGAGCTGAGGGTGGGGAAGAACAAGAATAATAAAAGTAATAAAGATGATAAGTGGCTCCCTTATTATCAACCAATTTGTAAAAATAATGGAGAAATGTATTCTAAGATGGGTAATAAGAATTCACGTGTTTAATGAAAACATATTTCATAAGGAAAAAGAGATAACAAAGTGACAATGGGTGGATGAACATGGAGAGGAGGGACCAAAGAGATAAAAGATTTGGGTGTGACCTGGGTATGGGTGCTAAGTTAGAGTGCTATGGCAATGTGAGTGTGGGTGTGTTCTGTGCACTGAGAGGTGAAACCCTTGCATGAATGGGTCTCCTGGATTCTAACCAACTGCATCTGGGGCAATGGGCCTTCTCAGTAGGGTGGGTTTTTGAAAAGGGAGTGTGAGAGCACTCCACAAATATAATAATAGTATTATAATAGAACAAAAAAATTAAAAAATAATAAAATAAAATATATTAAAAAATACAATTGCCTTGGGCGGGGATTCTGGTACACCGGGACCTGGGGGGCGTAGGACATGTGCAGGGGAGCGCACTGGAGAAAGGAGGAAGGTGAAAAAAATGGTGCAAAGTGAAGCTTGGAAACAGATTATTCTGCACCAAACTGCTTTCGCATAATTAGCTACCTCCCAGAGGCTAATGAGGTAAGAAGTTTGATTGGCTGGGTTGCCTCGGGGGCCAGAAAAGCATCAGTGGTTCTGGGACCAAGTGGAACTCTCTGAAGTGGCTCATGCCACTGTTCAATGGTAAAAGGATATCTGTCAGCAGGCTTTGCTGTGCTCCAACTTCAATAAACTTGAGTTTGTTTAGCTTTAAGTTGACATCTCACTGCCAAGAAGTGCAGGGTATCCCCTTATTGGCAATTCTCTGGTAGTTGCTTAGGAGATCTTGGTTGTTATTTTGAAGACATGTTCTCTCTGCCAAGTCTATTACTTCTTTATTTTTGGCGACTGTAGGCTTATTTTCTTGTACTTTTTGTAGTTGAGGGATATTTTGGGATAAAACTCTATTAGACTGGGCTCTCTAGAGAAGCAAAATCAGTGGTGTGTATGTAAAGAAATATATTTTCTCCAAAAAGTGGCTCATGTTTATGGATGAGATACTATGGTGCAGACCTTTCATGTCGTAAAGAGTTGTCTGGATTGCAGAACCAAGAAGTAGGAAGGAAAAGCAGGGAGATGAAGAAGGAAGACCATGACTGGTGGAAGCAGAGCTGAATGGATCTACATTGGCAGGTCAGATGGCAGGCTCTGATGGATCCAGGGTCAGCAGGCAATATAGCAGCCTATTGGTTCCAGTCTAAATAACCACAATAAATGAGCCATATGCAGGAGAAAAACCTGCAAGAAATGAAGAAGCTCTCCTCATAAAAGCATTTACTTATATATGAAGTAGGCCATACCCTGAGGAAGCAGCCTTGGGGCTTGGACTTGAGTATGGGATGACATTTTCCCCTAAGCGTTCCACCGCTGCTTGACTGCTCACATCATGGAGCTGATTATTTCATGGTACATCCCATCATATGGGAGATCTCAACTGTTCAATTACTGAGGATTCTGCCCCAACCAAGTTGACACAAAGCCTTATTATTACACGCAAATAAAATTTTCTTAAGGTGATTCATAAACAGCTGCATTGATAGTGAGCTGCCAGAATTTTACACTGGATTCAGAAAAAGGTGTGTAGTGGGGCATATCATTGCTGATTTGATATAGATATTGATTGAATGCAGAGAATACCAGATAAATGTTTACTTATGCTCTATGGACTAGGCCAATGCCTACATCAAATGTCTTCAGAAGGTTAACAGGCTCAGAGTACGAAGGTGGACCTCATTGTATTTTCAATGGCCTCACATACATGTGAAGGCTGGACAATGAATAAGAAAGAAGATTGCAGAAGAATTAATGCATTTATATTATGGTTTGGGTAAAGTATATTGAAAACACCAAGAGCTGTCAGAAGAACAAATAAATTTGTCTTGGAGTAAACACATTTATTATATTCCTTGAAAGTGGATCATGTTCCTTAGAAGTGAAGATGGCAGAATTATGTGTCATATATTTTAGACACGTTTTCAGGAGAAGCCAGGCCCTGGGGGGAAAAAGTTATCATGGGCGGGAGAGTAGAGGATCGGTGAAAGAGGAAAACTCTCAGTGAGATGGATTGAGAAAGGACCAGAGTCAATGGGTGCAAACCTAGAAACAAGTGTAGGGGAAACAGGACCAGTCAGTATTTCATTCTGTTGTTCACAGGGTTGCTATGAGCTAAAACCAACTGCATAGCACCTAACAACAACAACAACGTCTAACTGTGTGATTTTGGCTTCTGTCAGAAGCAAGACATGATTCTAGCCATCTTGGGTTCAGTTACAGAAAATGACAGAGTCCTGGAAACAAATTACACAAGTCTTGGATGGATTAAGGGCCTAGGCAAGAATCAGAGCCAAAGCTAGGAACAGGAAAAATAACTCAGAAAAAGAGAGCCAGTACAACTACAAGTTTGCAGTCATTTATTATTCAAAATGAAAGGCAAAGTAAGAAATATTTAAAATACAAGGTGAGTCTGTCAAGTGTACTTTGCAAATAACGTGACTTAATTGGTTTGAGCAGGAAAGTCTACTAATATATCTGGGAAGAATAGCTTCTCTTACTGAGAAAGTATAATTTTCAAAATGCTAAAAGCAGTAGTCTTACACAAGTACAAAATGAGCACGTGTAAAATCTTAGTATTTTAATTGGGGGTTAATAAGCCAGTAGTAAAAGTTTTAAGGATATTTAATGTATTTTTTAAGGAAATGGTTTTGAACATTAATCTATATTTGAAAGTTAACTCTATAAGCTTAGGTAACAATAGTAAATATTGTATTTTGTTTTATCACTCATCACTTTGACAATTCAAGCCAAGTTTTGCTAAAGACAGCAAATATATATATATATAGAGAGAGAGGTGAATGTCTTTTAAAACCAAAAAACAAACAAACAACCCTTTAAAACCTAGTACAAATTTATGCTACTGGACATTGACAGTGATGACAATTATGAGGAATCTGGATTTAGGTTTAGAAAAGAGGGGTTTCAGAAATTGTAGTTAAGTTTTTCTTGAGAAAAAACAGCTACCTAGTTAGAGACACCAACAATTTCTAAGGTAAACATGAACTGCTAAAGAGATCAGAGCTATGATTTAGGGAAGTTAATTTTTAATTTGTTTACATTGTAGTATTTGAAATACACTATTTATTCTATGTATTCTTACACTACATACATAGTGTAACAATATATTGGAGTTCCCCCCTTGTGGTAAGTAGTTGTTGACTTCTGCTAAAGAACAGCATGTAGAGAAACCAGAGGATGCCTACGTAAGCATAGTCTTAGATGAGTTGCAAGTAATTTTAATACTAATCTTTTACCTCCATTTGGCCTTTCCTGTTTCTTTTATAATACTCTTATTTTTGAGCATCTAACTTCTTTCATAAGTGTTATTCACTCCTTTCTCCACAGTAAATTTAATTACATAAATCTCTATGCAGTGCTAAGTAGTTAACAGTAACTTTTAAGCTTTCTTATTGCTGTCAGCAGCAAAGAAAAATGGAAATGTAAAGAGTAAATAAGATAGTTAATCATTTACTTATAGACTAAATAATAAAACATATATTATTGATATGTGATAATTTTTAATATTTCTTTTCCGCCTAGTTAAAACAAGCTGGTGAGCTGTGCAGAGAACAAATTGATGATCAATGTGATTTTCCTGAATATTGCAATGGATCTAGTAGTTTCTGTATGCAGGACACTTATGCACGTAATGGAGAAAGTTGCGATTCCGGTGATGCCTTATGCTTTGATGGAAAATGTCAGTCATTTGACAGACAATGCCAATCATTAATTGGAGGAGGTAATGACCACAAATTACTTCTTTGTTCCTAAATTCCGATTGCAAAGTCATATATATATATATCCTAGGATGGAAGGATTTCGTTTAGACTTTACCAGACTTTGGTTAGAGAGAAGCAGAGATTATAAACAAGTGAATGACTTTTCAGAATGGACCTGTTTAAAGGACCTTGCTATGTAAGGACTTCAACTGACAACATGTGTAGACCTCATTTTGTTAACCTTGGGTGCCCTCTTGAGCTAAGCTCATTAGGTAGACCATTTTTATAGTCTATTCTAAATATAGACCTTTTTGTACAAAATATGAATCAAGGAAAATTGGAAGCAGTCAAAAATGAAATTGAACACCTAAAAATTGACGTTGTAGGCATTAGAAGGCTGAAATGGACCGGTATTGGTCACTTTAAATAATAAAATCATGTGCCATACTATGAGAATAAAACAGGCAAGGAATGGCATTTCATTCTTTATTGAAAAGGACATTTCAAGATCTATTTTAAAGTACAATGTTGTCTGTGGTAGGATTATATCTACCCTAATTCTAGGAAATCCAATCAATGCAACTATTCTGCAGATTTATACAGTACCATCAGGAGAGTAATGAAGAGATTGAAGGATTCTGCCAATGTCTTCTGTGTGAAATAGATAAAACATGCAATCAAGATGCATAGATAATAATTGGTGATTCTAATACTGAAAGGTAAACTGAGGCAGGAGGACAAACAAAAAGTGAAAAAGTTAAGCGGCTGTAACAGCTCTTTATTAGAAAAGAAGCTCTCAGACGAGGTTCATCGGTCTAGCAAGTAGCCCAGGGAAGTCGTGCCCAGTGTGGAGAGTGGTGGGTTTTTAAAGGAGGGGCCAAGGAGGAGCCCTTTGGGGAGAGGGAGGGACTGCAGCTGCTGGGGATTTTCCACTACTGTCAGGTTTTTTTTTTTTTTAATCATTTCATTAGGGGCTCATACAACTCTTATCACAATCCATACATACATCAATTGTGGAAAGCACATCTACATTCATAGCCCTCATCATTCTCAAAACATTTGCTCTGCACTTAAGCCCCTGGCATCAGGTCCTCATTTTCCCCCTCCCTCCCCCTCCCACCTCCCACATGAACCCTTGATAATTTATAAATTATTATTTTGACATCTCTTGCCCTGTCTGATGTCTCCCTTCACCCACGTTTCTGTTGTCCGTCCCCCAGGGAGGAGGTCACATGTAGATCCTTGTAATTGGTTCCCCCTTTCCAACCCACCCTCACTCTATGCTCCCAGTATCGCCATTCATACCACTGGTCCTGAAGGTAAACAAGTGGCCATCTAGCTCAGAAGCAACAAAGCCCACATGGAAGAAGCACACCAGCCCGTGTGATCACGAGGTGACAAAGGGATCAATTATCAGGCATCAAAGAACAAAAAATCATATCATCATGTGCTCACCTCCATGATACCATCGCTGAAGACAAATGGGTGCATAAGCAAATGTGGTGAAGAAAGCTGATGGTGCCCGGCTATCAAAAGATATAGCGTCTGGGGTCTTGAAATCACAAGGTATTGAAGGGATCAGGTATAAGGCATCATCAGAACAAAAAATCTTACCATAGTGAATGAGGGAGGGAGTGTGGAGTGGAGACCCAAAGCCCATTTGTAGGTCATTGGAGATCCCCTTGCAGAGGAGTCTCGGGGAGGAGACAAGCCAGTCAGGGTACAATGTAGCAACGATGAAAAATACAACTTTCCTCTAGTTCCTAAATGCTTCCTCCCCTTCCCCCACTATCAGGATCCAAATTCTACCTTGCAAGTCTGGCTAGACCAGAGGATGTATAGTGATACAGATAGGAACTGGAAACACAGGAAATCCAGGGTGGATGATCCCTTCAGGACTAGTGGTTTGAGTGGCAATGAGGCATGTTTTTTCCTTAATCTAATTGTCCAGATGTTGCAGTTGGGGAGGAAAGACAGTTATTCTTGAAGTCTCTTCTGAGAATAGTCCATCAGCTTCGTTTCTTGGTATGTGTAGGGAGATGGGTTGAGGCCCTGACAGCCTTTCCCTGACCCAACAAATAAGAAAGTTGGAAACAAGAGTGAAGAAACAGTACTTGGAAAATGTTTTCATGGTAATAGAAATTAAGCCAGAGATTCCATGGTAAATTTTGCCGAACGACAACTTCTTCATCACCAATAGCTTTTTCAACAACATAAACAACAACTCACACATAGACTCATCCAAATGGAATACAAAGAAATGAAATTGACAGCATCTGTGGGAAGAGGACATGGAGAAGTTCAATATTAGCAGCTAAAACCAGGCCCAGGCCAAGGACTGCCTGTGGAACTGATCATCAATTGCTCATGCTTAAGTTCAGATTGAAGATGAAGATAATTAAAACAATGCATGAGAGTCAAAATACAACCTTGAGTATATCCCACCCAAATTTTGAGAACATCTCAAAAACATGTGTGTTGCACTGTTCACTAATGAACAAAGACCTGTGCGCTGAGGGAGGACATCAAGAACATCCTTCATGAAGAAAGCAAAAGGTATTTAAAAAGACAGGAAAGAAAGAAAAAGATCAAAGTGAATGTCAGAAGATACTCTGAAACTTTCTGTTAATCATAAACTGGCTAGTTTAAATGGAAGAAATGATAAAGTAAAATAGTTAAACAGAAATTTCAAAGAGCAGCTCTAGAAGATAAAGTCAAATAATATAATGAAATGTGAAAAGACTTGGAGTTGGAGAACTAAATAAAAAGAACAAACTGAGCATTTATCAAGCTGAAAGCACTGAAGAAAAAATTCAAGCCTTGAGTTTTAATATTGCAAGATTCTATGAACAAAATATTGAATTATGCAGGAAGTATCAAAATAAGATGAAAAAATGCAGAGAGTTACTGTATGGAAAAGAACGTGTTGATATTCCACCATTCCAGGAGTTAGGTAGCTCATGAGAAAATGCTAGTGGTGCTGAAGGAAGAAGTTCAAGCTGCACTGAAAAGCCTTAGCCAAAAACAAGGCTCCAGGAATTGATGAAATACCAACTGAAATGTTTCAACAAGCCGATGAAGTGCTTACTCCTTTATGCTATGAAGTTTGGAAGACAGCACCTTGACCCAACAGAATGCTCAAACTGTGGAACCATGACATTTATGTCTCATGCAGGTAAAATATTGTTGAAGATAATCCAACAGTGGTTGCATCAGTACATTGAGAGCAAGCTGCCAGAAATTCAGACTGCATTCATAAGAGGAAGTCTAACAAAGGATAGCACTGCTGATGTCAGATGGATCTTGGCTCAAAGCAGAGAATACCAGCAATGTGTTTTCTTGCATTTTATTGACGGTGCGAAAGCCTTCGTGTGGATCATAGCAAACTACGGATAGCCTTGAGAAGAATGTGCTGATGCAGAACCTGTACTTGGCTCAATAGGCAGTTAAGAGACAGAACATGGGAATACTGCATGGTTTCAAATCAAGAAAGGTGAGCATACTGTCACCATAGTTATTCAATCTGTATGCAGAGCAAATCATCAGTGAAGCTGGTTTATATGAAAACGAATGATGCATCAGGGGTGGAACTGAGCTTATCAACAATCTCTGATATGTAGAGGCACAACCTTGCTTGTTAAATGTGAGGAGGACTTGAAATACTTGCTGATGAAAATCAAAGGTTACAACCTGTAAGTATGGCTTACAGGTCAATATAAAGAAGACCAAAATCCTCTCAACTGAATCAATAGTTTGCATCATGATAAATGGAGAAAAGGTTGATGTTGTCAAGGATCTCACCTTACTTGAATCCACAATCGATGCTCACAGCAGCAGCAGCTCAGTGATCAAAGGCCACAATGCATTGGCTAAATCTGCTGAATAACTTCTCTTTAGGAGTACTGAAAATCTAGGATGCTACTTTGAGGATAAAAGTGTGCCTGACTTGACTCATAGCATATTCAATTGCCTCATATGCATATGAAAGTCGGTTATTGAATAACAAAAACCAAAGAAGACTTGATGAATTTGGATTCATCAAGTTGTGATGATGATGAATACTGAAGTTACTATGGATTGCCCAAAGAACAAACAAATCTGTGTTGGCACAAGTACAACCAGCATGCCCCTTAGAAGTGAGGATGGCAAGATTTGTCTCATGTACTTTGGACTTTGGACATCTTGTCAGGAGAGACAAGTCCCTGGAGATGGACACTATACTCCGTAGTGAGACAGCACAAAAGGAACAGAGGAAGGTCTTCAACAGGACGGAGTAACACAGTGGCTTCTCAGATGGCTCAAATATAAGAATCATGAGAGCGTGGCACACTATCAGCAGTTTTGTCCTGTTGTAAAAAAGGGTCCACGTGAGTCAGAATTTGACTGGAAAGCATACAACAGCTTCAGGCTTACAGTGAACCCTCGCCACTTCGCGCTTCGACTTCCGCGACTTCACTCTATCGCGGTTTTTGCGTAACAGGGCATGCTCTGTCATTACTGCCACTGATTGGCTCATACTGTACACGCTTGATGCCATAAATAATATAATAAATAATAAATGATAATTGTAACGTCCAAAATGTTTTACTGTATTTTCCCTTTTTCGTTTACTAAATTGGGTAATACGAGTGTAATGGTTACTAAAGGGTGTTTTTTCATGTCCTCTATGCTCTAACTACGAAAATATTTGATTTACAAATAAGGAATCCTACTTCGCGGAATTTCATTTATCACGGTAGGGTCTAGAACCAATTAACTGCGATAAATGAGGGTTCACTGTACTAGCAAATACCATGGATTCTCAGATTTGGAAAAGGAAAAGTTAAATTTTTGTTGTTGTTGTTTATTATCAGCATTCCACTATTGATGTTATTTCTCTATTTCTTTGGGACAATGGTAAATCATATTTTCTCCCTTTCTTATTCAAATTGGATAGGAATCTATGGCAGAAAGTGCAGAAATAATTCAGATAAAATAGAGAAGGGCATGGTGCTTATTTGGAGCTATTGAAATGACACTGTTTATTTTCTGCCACATATAAAATCAGGAACTTTTTGTTTACTCCTAGATATTGTTACCCAAAGTAACAATGGGCCCATGCCCTGGAACCATGATACCAATTAATAACTCCTTCTAGTGAAATAGAGCAACAGTACAACTGTTTTATTGGGGAGCCTAAAAGATCATGATTTGGCAACATTGACTTATTGGTGGGTGCCAGAGTCAGTCCAAATTTCCAAGTGATATTTTTACTTTCCGTATTACATACATGCATCCATACGTATATGTATATATACTTTAATTAATTTTTGATATATCAGAAAGTAATTAAAATGTTTCTATGCACAATATTATAATTTACAGTGATATAATATTTGAGTACGGTATACTTTAAATTCTGTATTGAAATATATAGTTGATCCTTGATGAAAAGGGTTAGAACTCTGTGAATCAACTTGCACATGGATTTATTTTTAAAACACTGTGTGCCACTATTCATCTGAGTGTACAGTTCAGCTTTCCAAAACTTTCACATTAAAAAGTGACCTATTGATTCCTTGTATACTTTTCATTCTCTTTTGTGCAGTACTGTAAACTGTGGAGCCCATATGAAGTGCCACTATGATGTTATGAATACTCTTCAGATGAAGAAAAAAGTTCCAGCATTACACGAGAGTTCAGTTGCTTTATAAACACTGAAGAATAATGTCTGTAGATTGATTTGCTCACCCATTCCATATAGAGCAGTGATTCTCAAGCTTCCTAATGCCGTGATCCTTTCATACACTTCCTCATGTTGTGGTGACTCCCCAACCATAAAATTATTTTCGTTGCTACTTCATAACTGTCATTTTGCTACTGTTATGAATCAGGTGACCCCTGTGAAAGGGTTGTTCGACCCCCAAAGGGGTCGCAGCGCACAGGTTGAGAACCGCGGATATAGAGTAATCCAGTACAAAGGCCATTGTAAAAAAAGAAAGCAGAATTTGTGAAGCTGTGGTTACAGTTGCACCAGCAGATGTGAAAACCTTACATTTTTTATGAAACACCTTTTAAATTTAATTTTTGAAAGTTTAGTTTTTATGTGAGTGCAGTATATAATACATATACAAATATGTGTTATTGGAAAGGCATCCAGTCAACAGTAGGCTATTAGCAATTAAGTTTTGGGGGATTCAAATTATATGTGGATTTCTGATTGCTTCGGGGTTTATGGCCCTAGGTTCCCCATTGTTCAAAGGTCAATTGTACTTAGTTCTTTTTTTATTCCTCCTAAAGTTTTATTGGCATATAATTCACATATCATAAATTCAATAGCTCAATCACATCAAGAAGAACTGAATACTCCTCACCACAATTAGGTTTAGAAATTGTCTTCAGTTCTGTGCTCATTGTTATTAGCTCCCCATTTCCCCCAACCTCCTTTGCAACACTCCCAAGGGTCCATTAATATAGACTGCATCGGTAGATTTCTCTACCCTAGATTTCATATACATAAAAACACTTTAAAAACATAACAAACTAACAAGAATAACAAAGTCTGTGTTAGGCCGAGTTGACTAGAGAAACAAATCCAGTGACACTCATATATGTCTAAGAGAGAACTTTATATCAAGAAGTAGTTTTATATCAGGAAACCATCCGAGCCCAGTCCAGATCAAGTTCGTATGTCTGATACTAGTCCATAAAAATCCTCTTCCTACTGATGCAGCCACAAGCAATGATGCAAAATTCAGGAAGATCACAGGCTGGTGGGTGAAAAGTCTTATGGATCAAATAGCAGTGGAAACACCAAAGGGTTCCTGCAGGTCTCAGCATGGCATGCCAGCCTGAAGGTGGTGGCAGAGATGCCGGAAGGTTCCCAGGACCCTCCTTAGGAGGAGCCCATGCCCACAAGGAGGCACCACCAGGCTGTGACCTGATGGACAGGCTAGATTCTTCCCCTACACATCATGTTGACACAAAATCATGGAACCACCACAGAGTAAAACAGATAAAACCTCAGCCAAAAAGAAAGCAAAGAAATATTAAAAAGCAGAACGAATTTAGATGGATCATCATGGAGATCAAATGACAGGGTGCTAAATTTTAATCTAGCTGTGTGGTACTTACTTGTTTTCTTCATGTGTCCTTTTTCCTTTTTAGATTCTACAGGTGCTCCTTTTGATTGTTATGAGGATATAAATAGCAGAGGCGATAAATATGGAAACTGTGCTGACACTGTGTGTCCATTTCCGTATGTACTTACAAAAGTATTGTTTTGTTCAGAATACACATTATATGTTGCTAAGGATCCTAGAATACATTATATATACAATAAAATGGAATTCTCTGTAAGCCTTTATTTGTTTCGTATGTAAGCGGGACAATATTATCTATGACCCACATGTAATATTTGCTCAGTGCCTATAATAGAGCAGAAACAATGATAATAAAAATGACCTCAATTTACTGTTTTGGTAAACTATAATTTGTACTAGGTAGTTCATATGCATTATATAGTTATCTTCTTAAGACATGAGACTTTAAGTATAATTTCATTTTATAAATAAACAATTAAAATTTAGATTACATTTCTCAATTTCTTAAGTTTCTAAAGATTGTAAACTTGTAAGACAGATATGGGAAGGAACACAGGGCTGTCTGATTGCAAAGTAATTATTTTTTCACTTGCAACATTACCTTGCAAAACAGAAAAAGACACATCTTCAAGTCAATCTGCTCAAAGAGTTGAAAACTCTAAAAATATTCTTTCACATGTATTAGCTAGGTCAGCAACCTATGTTATTTCAATAAGAAATTTGTTTTTTCTGCCTTATACCTCTAGGGATCTTCTTTGTGGAAAATTAGTTTGTTCATGGCCACACAAAAAATTAATACTCCGTCCCAATTTGTCTGTGTTGTATACACATCTACGAGATGAAATGTGTGTAACCACACATCTACCCTTCACGGCGTCAGTTAAACTCAAAGATGTTGCGGAAAAAACAACATACTCTGGTCCTGGAGACAGAGATGAGACATTTGTGCATGATGGCACCCCATGTGGTCCTGGAATGGTAATTGCAGAAGTTCAACTGTTTTCAAAGTTGTTTTTTATGGTTATATTCATTTTGACCATCTACACTGTGTTTTTCTCAATGTATTGTTTTACAGCTTTTTCTGAGGCACAGAAATTTACCCATCATATATGTACAACTTACTGATATTAGTTTATAATCATGCAATGATCACTAGGTTTAGCACATTACTGTCACCCCAAAATTTCACTCTTGCCTTGAAGTGAGTCTTTTATTCTTTCCCTAGCCCTAACTAAAAACTGAAGTGCTTACTGTCTAGACATTTGTGCTGTCTAGATATTTTATGTAAATCGAATCATATACTATATGGTCTTTGCTTTCTAACTTCAGGTTTTTGGACATTTCCTTTTAATACATTGTTTTCTCAAGCTGCCGTTTGAAATTTTCTCTTCAACATTTTTTACTTCATCGTAATTTTTTGTTTTGTTTTGTTTTTTTCATTTGCATTAGCCACTCTACTATCAAAAGCAATTTTCAGGATTTCTTCTGACATCCATCCACTCTGATATTTTCTATGCCTCTTATCTTTTTAGTGATGTTTTGCTTTCTTCTGGTATGATGCTCTTGCTCATTAGATATTCTGTCATTAGCTTTGAATGTGGTAAATCTGTTCATGAGATATTTTCCAAATTCAGGTGGGATGAACTCAAGGTGATATTTTTACTTTCTTGGACCTGTTTGAATTTTCTTCTTCAACTTCAACCTGAACTTACATATGAGCAATTGATGGTCTGTTCCACAGTTGGCCCCTGGCTCTCTTTGACTACTAGTATTGAGCTTCTCCATTAACTTTTCACAAATAAAATCAATTTGATCCTATGTATCCTTGTCTGGAAAGGTACATGTGTACAGTCACTTTTTATGTTGTTGATAAACAGGTATTTTCAATGAAGTTGGTCTTTCACAATTCTATGTGATCTACAGCTTTATTTCTGTAAGCAAAACCATAGTTTCCAACCCAAACAAGAGAAACAACTCCCTCCTTATTTCCAACTTTTGCATTTCAATCTCCAACAATTATCAATGCATCTTGATTGGCTATTTGATTTTCGCAGAAATTTCCATGTGAAATCAATGTACATCCAAACTTACAGCCTTGATTTGGCTCCTTCTGAATTCTTTTTGTTTCTTAATCTTTAAATAAATAAATGAATGAATGAATGAATGAATAACTAAATAAATAATTAAAGGGCATATATTTATCTGTAGTTAATAATGAATAAAAAGACTGTGTTGTAATGGTTATATGGGACCCTCAGTTGTTTACAGATGGATAAATGGCTGGTATTATTGCTAACAAAAGTGTCTTGACCTTGATGGAATCTATTTTCATTTTTATCTTTAAACTCTACTTTTCTCCAAACTTTTTCATATTTCCTCTGGACACTGGTTGAGAGCATACCAGTTTCCTGGAGAACATAGCCCTAACCCTGAAAAGTGTTGGCACCTAAATGATGTCATATTTGTGTCCTTATGAAATCATCCATTATTCTCTCAAGCTAGCTACTTCTAGATTATGGGAAACATAGTAAGACTAGTGAATTCCATGAATGTGAGCCCCTTTCCATACTTAATTTCCTGTATAGGATACCATGATGATGGATAAGGATCCTGTGTGTTTGCGGGTGGTAATTTTGACAGAGATATTGCATACAGGGAGGTCAAGTCCATACACAGAGCAAATGTATACCCCGTTAAGAAGAAAATAATGCCCTTTCCATGAGGGAAGATGTGCAATGTCATCAACCTGCCACTAGGTTGTTAATGGTTTATTGCCTCAATGAGTGGTGCCATATTGGAAAATCATTGTTGGTCTCTGCTGCTGGCAGATTGAGAACTCAGAGTGGCTGAAGTGAAGCGGATAGTAATGAGACATCATTGTTGCTGAGACCAAGCATAACCTCCATCCCTGTCACCATGGCCACTTGGTTTAAGCACCCATTGGGCAATGGCAAGAGTGGCTGGGGAAAGAAGATGATTGATTTCCAAAGAATGTTACATTCTACACACATGATTGTTAAGATCTTCTTCTGATGAGGTCCCCATTTGGTGAGCATTCACCTAAGACATGAATATCTTCCCTCATTTGGCCCATTCAAGAAGTCTAGCCACATATTTCTTCCCCACACCCCTTTGTCACCAGTCTTCCAATCATGCTCCTTCTAATTCTGTGACCATATAGCCACACCATTGGGTATGGCCCATGAATTTGTATATAATTGAATGATTGGCCATTTCTCCTTCTAAGCAAAGTGAATAACTAGGTGGACTATTAGAAGCACTACCCCCTGGACAAATTTTCCCTCATGATCCTTCAGTTATCTTAGAAAATCATTCTGCTGCAGTCCATTTTCAAGTGAAAGCTTCATATACACAGAAGTATCTCTAAACGATACACAAATCTTCTCATCTTCAATCAACTAACCATAAGTGACTTCTCACATAGTCATAGTTGTGGATTGGAAGGAGGAAATGGACAGGAGTGGAGATTATGGACCAACTTGCCCATGCAATTGATTAGTGCCTCCAGGTCCTGCTTGAGCCCAATCTTGAATATACAACTTCCACTTATGGATGCAGTGCTATTGTGCCTTGTATTCTTGACCCTGCTCATAATGGGAATTTCAGTCTTCATGGTAACTTGGTGCCTGCGGTGAGGCATACAGTCTTTACTAAGGTCTAGCAACAAGCCAAAAACTGTTTCTCAAAAGGAGAGTTATTATCTGCAGCGGGTGACATGGCTTTGTTCCATTCTACAAGGGATTCACTAGTAGCAGCCTGGAAGAAACTTCAAAACGCTCTATCAACCACTGATCCTCTGCGTAACGTTGAGTCGATCAGATTATGTGGCACACGCACCAACGTGGCTTTCACAGAAGCCCCATATGGTTGCAGGGTCTTTTGTCACACAACTAGCATAGCACGGCCAAATAAAGGAAATGTTTCCTTCCAAACCAAGGAGGGGCCCCCCAAGCATTTTGCCTGCTTGTCCCCTAAGATGTGCTAGCTGCCATAACTTAACCATCACTTTAAAAGGAATATCTCTATATGCTCCCTGCCATTGGACCTCTAGAAATGTCATGGATGTGGAACCCCAAACCGATTTCCATGCAATCGTTCCCAACCCATCGCACCCCTCAAGGACAATTCAGAACTGCTCCTTACTATTTCTGAACCTATATATCATCATGGGAACAGATCACTCCATTTTTCTCTTCTTTTGTTGTTAGGTTGGAGTCAGTTCCAACCAATAGCAACCCTCTGCACAACAGAGCAAGACACTGCAGAGCCCTGTGTCCTCCTCACAATTGTCCCCGTGCCTGTGCTCATTGATGCTGCCACTGTGGCAAGGCATCTCCTTGACGGCCTTCCTCTATTTTGCCTCGGCCCTTCCACTTTACTGAACATGATGTCTTTCTACAGGAACAGGTCTCTCCTGACAATGTGTCCAAATTATGTAAGGTGAAGTCTTTCTATCCCTTCCTCTAAGGGCACTGTGGCCTTACTTTTCCAGTATAGATCTGCTTGTCTTTTTAGCATCTATGGTACTTTCAACATTCTTCCTCAGCAACACAATTAAAATGTATAGATTTTTCTTCAGTCTTCCTTATTCAATGTCCAACTTTCATATGCATGTGATGCAAAGGAGAATCCCATGGCTTGAGTCAGGTATACCTTATTCCTCAAAGTAACTTGCTCCTCAATGTTTTAAAGAGCATTGGTTTCAAAGTAATTTGTTCTTCAGTGCTTTAAAGAGATTGAGATTTACCTAATGCAATCCATCTTTTGATCTCTTGAATGCTGCTTCCATGAGCATTGATTATAGATACAAGTAAGACAAAATCTTTGACAAATTCAACCTTTTCTCCAGTTAACATGATGTTACCCATTGGTCCAGCTGTGAAGATTTTGGTCTTCTTTCATTGAGTTATAATCCATAGTGAAGGCTGCCATCCTTGATCTGCATCCGCAAGTACATCAAGTCCTCCTCACTTTCAGAAAGCAAAGTTGTTAATAAGCCTTCCTCCAATGCTGATGGCACACCTTCTTCATAATATCTACTTTCTCTGACAATTTGCTCAGTAAATAATTTTTCTCCTGTGGAACAGTTAATGGGTTTGAACCTTGTTGTTATCAGCCTAACATTAACCCACTGCATCACCTGGGCTACTTCTAATGTGGAAGGCACGTGAGTTTTGGTTGAGTTAATATCTGAACCTTCTAAATTGCAATTGTCTAACCAATAGGTCTAAAATACTATGTCTCAATTATTAGTTCTAGTTAGCATGATTTCATCAATAAAAGGGACAAGCATAGCATCTTCTTTTAAAAAAATCATTTTATTGGGGGCTCTTACAGCTCTTAAAACTTTCCGTACATCAATTGTGTCAAGAATATTTGTACATATGTTGCCATCATTGTTTCTAAAATATTTTCTTTCTACTTGAGCTCTTGATATAAGCTCCTCTTTCCCCCCCTCCTTCGTCACCCTCCTATCCTTGTGAACCCTTGATCAATTATATATTGTTATTATTATTTCATACCTTACACTGTCCATTGCCTCCCTTCATCCACATTTCTGTTATTCATCCCCTTCAGGGTGGGGGGTCTACATGTCCAACCTTGTGATCGGTTCCCCCTTTTTCTCCCTTCCCCATCCCAGACCATCCCCCTACACTCATTATATTGCTACTCCCACTGCTGTTCCTGAGGGGTTTATCTGTCCTGAATTCTATGTGTTGAGAGCTCTTTTCTGTATCAATGTGTGTCCTCCATTTAGCCAGATTTGAAAGGTAGATCTGGGTCCTGGTAGTAGGGGGGAGGAAGCATTCAAGAACTAGAGAAATGATGTGTGTTTCATTGGTGCTATACTGCACGTTCGTTGAATCATACCTTCCTTATAACACTTCTGTGGGAGATATCCAAGTATCAAGCATGGACTCTTATAGAAGGGAAAGGTAATCCTTGTCCTTATGGATAAAATTATGATTTAGATTTACATACTTCAGAAGTAGGACAGTGAACGTGTATTGTTAGCCTAACCCACTGATTCTGGTGATCCTTCAAAAGTGTAATTTAGAAAAATCCCTGGCCAGATCAGTAGTTGCATACCATAACTTTCTCAAGCGACACAAGCTCACAAGAAGAGCAACTACAGTTGGAACCAGTTACCTGGCTAAATATACGATTACCTGCTGCATTTCTGGAAGAGCCCTCTGTTTGGGGAACATGTGAAACAGATGGCTAGCACGGGTGGGGTGGTTAGCACCACCCATACATCCCTTAAATGCTTGATGGTTGACATAATCTTTGCAATCCTTCCAGGAATGCGGTGTGGCCTTTTATTTAATATCTTCCAAGGTAGAGCCAATTCTAATGAGTCCACTTGACCCTTTCTACATAATCACCCTTACTTTGCATATTGGGGAAGTAATGTAGGGGTTCTGCCAGTTTCTGAATATACTTAGTAATTTCTGGACAGTCTAATGGTATTTTCTCATATAAAAATTAACTCTTATAAAAGCTTGCTGGGTACTTCTGGGGAAGACAGAAAGATTAACAGCATAAAATTTTGTTAACTGGGCCAAGTCTGGGGATTCAATGAGGAGCCTCACTCTCTATTTCGATTATTTGGACTTCAGTACAGTTTAGTTGACCTAGAATTCTTTGAAGTAGATCCCCCACTCCCAAGGACACCATGACCAAATGGCCAATGCTACCAGTCCGTAGGAGTCTGACTATTATGATGACTGTTTTCATACTGTTGTCCTGTATGGTAGCCAAATGCATATTTAGTGATTTTTCTATATAATTCACTCCTGGAAACATTATGATTAAATTGTCAATATAAGTTCTCAGGAAAAAGACTTTAAAAAAATCATTTTATTAGGGGCTGTTACAACTTGTGTTAGTCTGCGTACATTAGAGAAACAAATACACAGAAACTCATATGTATAAGAGAGAGTTTTATATAAAGGGTAAGTGCACATCAGTAAAACATCCCAATCCAGTGCTGCCCAAGCCCACAAGTCCAACATTAATCCATTTGTCCGACAATCCACAAAGTGCTCCTCCATCTCACAAAACACACGCAATGATGCCGACTGCAGGAGGAAAGCCGAATCAGTGAGCGTTTAAGCATCTCAGTGCTGGCACAGCTGCCTCAGCACCCAGGGTTGCATTGGGGTAGGTCCATGTGGCTTCTCCTCAGGGATGTCTTGCAGGAAGTGAGCCTTGCCAGCTGAAGCAGGGAACTGGCTAAAGCAGCTGCACCCTGGTCTGACTCTCAGTGAACAAGAGACCTGAGAATTTGAAAGGCAAGGCTGATTGAGCCATTTCTTTCTCTCCACCCTTCAATTAACCCCACATGTGTTTATCAGCTAGGTTGGCACAATAAACTTTTTTTTTTTTTACCTTTAAAAAAAAATCAATTTATTGGGGCTCATACAATTCATCACAATACACAGATCAATTGTGTAGAGCACATCTATACATTTGTTGCCCTCATCATTCCAAAAATTCGCTTGCCTCTTGGGTTCCCGGAATCAACTCATTTTCCTTTTTTCCTCCCTCCCCCTCCCTTCCTCTGCCCCCCTCCCCCATGCTCCCTCTGATGCCCATCCCCCAGAGAGGAGGTTATATGTAGCGCTCTGTAATCAATTCCCCCTTTCTACACCCCCCTTCCCTCCTGGTATTGCCACTGTCACCCCTGGTCCTGAGTGGTTCACCTGTCCTAGATTCCCTGCGTTTCCAATTCCCATCTGTACCGCTGTGCATCACTGGTCTAGCCAGATCTGCAAGGCAGAATTGGGGTCCTGGTAGTTGCGGGGAGGAAGCGTTTAAGAACTAGAGGAAGGTTGTGGGTTTCATTATTGTTATACTGAACCCTAAGTGACTCATTTCCCCACTACCCCTCTGCAAGGTATGTCCAGTTGTCTAGAGATGGGCATTGTGTCCCCATCATGCGCCACCCTCATTCACGAGGATATGATTTTTCTCCCCACCTTTGGTGTTTGAAGCCTGGTCCCTTTGGCCCTTCATGATCACACATGTTGGTGTGCTGTTTCCATGTGGGCTTTGTTGCTTCTGGGCTAGATGGCTGCTTGTTTACTTTCAAGCCTTTAAGTCCCCAGACGCTATAGGTCTCGATAGCCGGACACCATCAGCCTTCTTCACCACATTTACTTATGCACACATTCGTCTTCAGCGTTTATGTGGAGTAGGTGGTCACTCAATGATGGTTTTTGTTCTTTGGTGTCTGCTGCCTGTTCCCTTCAACACCTCGTGTTCGCACAGGCTCGTGTGCTTCTTCTCTGTGGACTTTGTTGTTTCTGAGCTAGATGGCCGCTTGTTTGCCTACAAGCCTTTAAGACCCCAGATGCTATATCTTTTGATAGCCGGGCACCATCGGCTTTCTTCACCACATTTTCTTATGCACACATGTCTTCAGCGATCATGTCAGGAAGGTAATAAAACACAGGCGAAACACACAACATTTCTCTAGTTCTTTAATGCTTCCTCAACCCCCACTATCATGACCCCAGTTTTACCTTACAAATTTAGCTAGACTGAACCATGCAGGGCAGATAATCCCCTCAGGAACAACAATGGGAATAGCAATACCATGAGCATAGGGGGACGATGGGAGGAGAAAGGGGAGAAAAGGGAGACAATATCAATGGTCGATGCATAACACCCACCTCTCAGTGGGAAGAACAAGAGAAAAGTGGGTGAAGGGAGATAGCGGATGGTGTAAGATATGAAAATAGCAATCATTTTTAATTTATCCACAGTTCACAAGGGTGGGGAGGGATAGGGAATGGAGGGGGGGGGAAAGAAACGCTGATACCAAGGGCTCAAGTAGAAAGAAATTTTTGAAAATGAAAATGACAACATATGTACAAATGTGCTTGACACAATGGGTGTATGGATTGTTATAAGAGCTGTAAGAACCCCCCAATAAAATGATTTATTAAACAAAAAAAGGTGTCACCTTAGTACTCCCTGAGGGATCATTGGACTGGACTCAGAGAAACCTTCTTGATATAAAGCTCTTTCTTATAAATATATGAGTGTCCCTGGTTTGTTTCTCTAGACAACTTAGCTTGACACAGGTAGTATATTTAATCCTGATTATCAAAGGAAATCTGGATTGATATTACATAGGAGAATTTATCTGGAATCCAAGAAAAATTTTAAGACATCTCTTTGTACTACCATGTGAATAAAGTCAGTTTTAAATTATAGCAGCCCATTTCTAGCATGACTATTGGCGCATAGCCTTCAGGAATGAAGATTTGGGTCATCCTTCCAAGCAAACAACCACTACCACTTAAGGTGGTTGCTAAGGGCAAATTGAATATAGAAAAAGTGGTGGAAGATGTTAGCTCTAAATACCAATGTCTCCTGATTATTTGTAGAAATGAGAATTGTGATCATTGAGAATATATTTCCTTGTATGTATACACCAAATAACTTTTGTTCACTTTTTAAAGGTATAAATGGAGGTTAGTGTTTTTCTGGTTGTGCTCATGTTAGTTAGTTGTATCATGTCAAATGCAAGTATTACTTCATGATTATCTTTACTAAGAGTGTGTCTATGACGTAAGATGTGCCAAGTTGACAAGAGTTAGACTATAATAATTAAGTTGGGCTATGATTCTCAGTGGCTTGGGAGGTAAGACCGTTAAGGCAATTATCAGAGTGAGAAGGACTCATGGGTGTGCCATGCTTCCAATATAAATGAATGCTCTGGGAAAGCTTGCTTGCTTTTTCTGGGTTTGAATCTTGTATCTGGCTTGTCATCTAACCTCTGATTCATTCGAGTTGAACCAGCAGCCTACAGTGTTGCTTGCTAATCATGGGGGTCATCAGGAGCTTGCCATTTTATATGCCAACCTTAGATTCATTTGCTTCAGAACCCAGAAGACTGATAAATGGCCTGCTGATCTTGGGTTCATCAGCCATTGCAGCTATGTGCGTCTGGAGAAGCCTGAGCCCAACACCTGACCCAGGGAGTCTAAAACTACATGGGTCATTTCTTTGTATGTGTACATATATACACTTCATGTATTTTGTTTCCCTAGAGAGCCAAGCGTAAGGTAGCCGCACCAAGGATTTTATTTCCATCATGCCAATGCACCTGCTCAATTGAGAGGGTAGCAAGAGCTGTCGTGTTTCTTTCAGAATGTTACCTCATCCATCCCACAGGCCTGTCCCCAAGATGTCTATTAGTCCTGAAATTCAAAGAGCTTTCCATAGGAACACAGTTTGAGTCTCTTTATTATGGCAGAACTACCATTTTGATTTATTACAAACTGAAGAGGGCAGACTCATTTGGCAAAATCCTAGAGAGATGGGAACATCACCCTCAGAAGTTCATATGCCTATCTGGATGAAACGTTGAGAAACAATAGCTTCACATTTTGATATATTTTAAAATAAAGATTTCCATACATTTATAATGTATACATAAACATATTCCTGTAAATTGAACTCACCAACTACTCTTTGGGAGAAAGATGTGGCAGTCTGCCTTAGAAATCTTGTGAGGCAATTCTATCTTCATCTGTAAAACATTCAGCTCCTTCTATGTATTTACAATAGAAAGGTAACTTATTTCACAATCAAGTCAATGTAGTCACAGTAATATATTTAAAAAAAATACTAGCCCAAGGAAATAGGATTTCTGGGATTTTCTTGGATTTTTACTATGTATTACCCATACATACAATCTGATGTTTGATTGACTTTATTTTTCAATTTTTTCCCTTTTAGTTTTGTTTCAGACTTAGCTGTACAGAAATTGCTTTCTCTCATAATTTTTTGTTGTGTGATCCTGTCAACCATTGCAATTCAAAAGGCGTAAGTAACTGAAATTTTCCTTTTAAGCAGCATTATCTGACCAATAAAATAAACAAAGGGTTAATTTTTAAAAAATTATTATTATTTACCACTGTATGGTGTCCTTTGACAAGATAGTAGCTGCAAACTTATTTTCTTAGCAAATCTTATCCAACTATTTATTATAGATCATAAAATAGAAATGCTCAAGATAATTCTCAATGAGTACAATTTTAAGTATGTATCTGGAGTGGCTGCATTGTTTAAAACTAAAAGTGGTTCTGTTCGCATTTGATCAAACCATCTTAATTTTACAGAGCTAAGGTTGCCACAGGTGATTAAAGATCATTAGCCTTTTCTTCATAGTCGTGTGAGTTAGCGTCTGGGGTGTTCTGTGAAATTAACAAGCAGATAAGAATTAGTGACATGCTAGTAGTGGTTAAGCATCTGGGTCTCTTCTGGAATAAGAAGTGGAAAGAAGTATTTTCAAAACTGTTTTTTGAAGCCAGATGCGCTTTCCAAAGTTAGGGAGAATTTTAAAGAAAAATTTGCAAAATTTGATTATCTTTGTCTATGTTAAACAAATTTAGAATGAGATGCTATGTAAAATAAATATAGATTATGTTTAGTCCCTCTCAGAAACCATTTTTTACATTAAAAATATTTTATTTCCTGATTTCTCTAGGTTTGCAATAATTTTAACCATTGCCATTGTGAAAATGGTTTTGCTCCACCTGATTGCAAAGTAAGGAAAGGAGAATTTGGAAGTATTGACGATGGACATCCGATAAAACGTGGTTAGCATCTTTAAAATTTTTGTTAATCAAGTAAAATGTTTGAGAAAAGTTAAGATATACATTCCAAGCTACTGGAAAATGCAACTGATGTCAGCAACCATAGTCTTATTTTATTTTCCAGAATAAAAACCCTAAGTGTTAGATTAGTATTGTTCCTTATATATTGCACTGTCATTGTTTATTGAGAATAAACAAAAACTATGTTAGGTTGAAGTTAAGGATTTTGTCTTGCTTGGATCCATAATCAACGCTTTATCAAAGCAGCAGTCAAGAGATCAAAGGATGTGTTGCTTTAGGTGAATCTGCTGCACAAGACCTCTTTAGACTCTGAAAAAGAAGGATGTTACTTTGAAGACTAAGGTGCCCGTAACCCAAGCCATGGTATTTTCAATTGCCTCATATGCATCTTGAAGTTGGCCATTGCATAAGGAAGCCAGAAGAAGCGTTGATGCATTTGAATTGTGGTTCTGAAGAAGAAGAATGAACGTGTCATAGTCTGTGGCAAGGAAAAACCTCATCTCTTTTGGTAGAAATACAGCCAGAGTTCTCCTTAGCGGCAAGGATGTCAAGACTTTGTCTTACATACTTTGGACATATTATCAAGAGAGACCAGTCCCCGGAGAAGGAGGACATCATGCTCAATAATATGGAAGCGCAATCAAAACAAGAAGACCCTCAAGGAGATGTATTGACACTCTGGCTGCATCAAGGGGCTCAGGCATAGGAACAATTGTGAGGAGGGTACAGGACCGTGCAGTGTTTTGTTTGGTTGTGCACAGGGTTGCTATCTGTCAGAACTGACGGATGGCACCAAACAACGTGTATTTTAAGAGTAGCATTTCCAGTGTATTTAATTTAGCAAGTTCACTATAATTGTTGGTTTTAGCTTGTCTCATAATTTTTTGGTTTGATATCATGTCAACGGTGATTGGTATATTAATGCCATCACTGTTTTTCAGGTTGTGTTTTAGTTCTAATTGTTTTCTAATTGGTTCCCCCCCCCCTCCCCTGCATTGTAAAGGCTTCAAATTGAATTTGAAATATCTTCCTTTAAGTCTACTCCCTTTCTCATCCTTAATTCCTGATTGGTATTTTGATATCAGACAAGCCTAGATGAAAATGAGAACAACTGGATGATGCTCCCTGTTTCCAGAAGGTACTGGGGCCTACCCCAAACAGCTTGGGAGCAGAGGCAGGCTATTCACCTGGAGCTCCTCCCTTCTAGGGTTTTGTAAGCCATTAGTGAAACCCCTGAGCTTGTTGGCTTAGATGTTGGGAGGAAGTATACCTGGAGTGAATAATTTCATTTTAATAGAAAGCTGTGTATATTTAATATAATTCCAAAGGTAATAACAATTATCATGTGGATAGGGATAGGTGCAGCGTTAGTAACCAGTTAGGGGAAGAATTTGTCTCTGGATTCTTAGTCTACCTCCTCTTCCCGTGTTAATAAGATCTTTGATATCATTTAAATTTTATTTTAAGATTACCAATATTTCCCATTCTAGCTACAAGTTTGATTCAGGGAAGATATGCCTCTACTCCAAAAAACCAGGTTCAGCTCATTGCATACATTTGCATACCTATGGCCGTCATTATTACTGTTGCATTAATAAAGCGGAACAAATTACGAGAGCTTTGTAACAGAGAAGACAGTGAAAATGAGAGGTATGTGTACATAAATAGAGTACTCTTCTTATGTTAAATAAGTCAAGAAAAGGAAGTATTCATGTTTTATCCGAAATGCCCTAAGATGGTTAATGCAGTATGAGGAGAAGCCCAAGAATATTTTTCAGACTATCTGATGTATTTTGTGTATCTCTGATCTCCTTTGTGACTGAAACTGTTTAGTTGAGCATGTATCACTACAGGAGAAGACCAAGTAACCAAGGGCATTTTGAAGGTATACGTAAACCATGCAGGCATGGTTGGCCAGCAAACTTTTGAGAAAGAAGAGCCAACCCTGTCCCTCATAAGAATTTGAAGATTATTAAAGGCTATAAATATATTTTTCACAAAGAAATCAAATCACTATTATAAGAATAATATCCTTAAAAATGTTTCTGTTTTACTTCAAAGCCCCATGTACATACTGAGAGAGCCACAGATGGCTCAGGAGGGCAGTTTGTTGACTCCTGATTTATGTTAAAAAATTGTGATCCTGTTTTTAAAAGTGGGTATATTTTTCCTAAAGGGATATAGACACCAAATTGCTTGCTAACTTCATGAACATAATTGCCTTTCCAAAGAATTTACTCCACACAGCCCCACCCAAATTTATTGAGGACAGGTCTCAGAGTCGTAGTGAGCATCTTTGTTAAAACAACTTTTTCAATGTTCTTAACTAATGTTAACTCACTCATAAATTAGACAATGCATAAGTAAAATAGAGAACATTAATTAAGGCAACTCAACTGTCACCATATCTATACTTCTAATATATATATTTCTAAACTAGAAATTGTATGTAGAATTAATAATACTGAGATGTTAATAAAATTGACAAATTAAGGTTACTGGGCAGAATGTAAGATTGCACAGTGAGGGGGAAATATCATTTAATTTCAGAAAATCTGGTGTTAAAGTTCTAAATATTACATGTAAAAAATGTACAAGTTATCTAAATACTATTCAAACTATTTTTTCTCTCTATTTTTTCTATATTTTTATAAAATGGAAGATACTAGTTCCTTTCCAATGTATCAAAGATCTGTAGGTTTAGTGATCAAAACATCTTGGCATCATTATTGACCCCCTTTTTCTTTCTTTGGTGCATTTTTCCACAGAAGTAATTACTCTTAGTTTTACTTTACTGAAATTGATTAGAAATATCTAGAAAAATTATCTGAAATATTTGAGACTTACTATGTTGTCAAGAAATTTATTATATTACTATGTTTACTATATTGCTGGGGAAGAACAAATGAATTGTCTTGAGGACTAAAGTGTGTCTGATCCCAATCATAGAATTTTCAGTAACCTCCTATATGTATGAAAAATGAACAATGCATAAGGAGTATGGAAGAAGAATCGGCATCTTTGAATTATGATGTTGGTGATGACTACTGAAAATATCATAGATTTCCAGAAGAATTTGTATTGGAAATACAAAAACATTTGTATTGGAAGAAGTACAAACACACTCTTCCTTAGAATTTAGACTTACAATTTGAGACTGTCTCAAATACTTTGAACATATTCTCAGGAAAGATGGGTCCTGGAGAATAATATCAGGCTTGGTGAAGTACCAGGTCATCTAAAATTTGGAGGATCTAAATAATATGAATGGACACAATGACTGGAACAACAGGCTCAAAAATAGCAGATTCAGGATGCAACAGTGTGTCATTCATTGTGTATTGGGTCTCTAGGAGTTGAAACCAATGTGACAACACTTAACAATAACACATTATTGTTTTTGATCACCTTGACTTGAGGGATTAGGCAGTTCATAGAAAAGGGGCTGTCTGTACAGATGGAAGTTTATAACAAAGCAAAATGATGATAATAAAAGTCAATCCATAAGCTAGATGAATATATCATGCTCTCTCTTTGACTTTATGTGATACATGTTAATGTATGGCTCCACCCTCATAATGAATGTTATTAAAGTGAAGGCCATACCACCCACCCTCATAGCATGTGTAATGGGTGTCCAGTCACCTACATTCTGAATATATATAATTTAACAATTCATGTATTAGAGTCTGATAACTTCTGTGTGAGTGGTGATACTGGGAGTCTAGAGGGAGAGTGGGTTGGAAAGGGGGAACCGATTACAAGGATCTACATGTGACCTCTTCCCTGGGGGATGGACAACAGAAAAGTGGGTGAAGGGAGATGTCAGACAGGGCAAAATATGACAAAATAATAATTTATA